TATATATATATATATATATATATATATATATATATTAGGACCATGTCAGAGTAGAAACTAAAAATGTATGTTTCTCATTATTGATTCCTGTTCCAATTGGAACTTGAATTTTTGTCACGTAAGGTAGTCCAATTTAATTAAACAAAATGTTATAGTTATGTAATTATGCATTGCACAATGAACTACAGGAAAAGACACTTGCCAAACAAAATAATGGACTTCCTTTCTGTTGCATTTAACATCAGAGCTCATGTAACGGCTGTATAGTCACTATTAATGGCATTATGTTAGTTCGCATATAATAGGATTGAGCAATTAGTAAGCATATTTGTGACCCTGGACCACAAAACCAGTCATAAGGGTACATTTTTCGAAATTGAGATTTTTACATAATCTGAGAGCTGAATAAATAGCTTTCCATTGCTGTATGGTTTGTTAGGATAGGACAATATTTGGCAGAGATACGACTATTTTAAAATCTGGGATCTGAGGGTGCAAAAAAAGTTGTCCAAATTAAGTTCTTAGCAATGCATATTACTAATCAAAAATTAAGTTTTGATATATTTACGGTAGGAAATTTACAAAATATCTTCATGGAACATGATCTTTACTTAATATCCTAATGATTTTTGGCATAAACGAAAAATCGATAATTTTGACCCATACAATGTATTTTTGGCTATTGCTACAAATATACCCCAGCGATTTAAGACTGGTTTTGTGGTCCAGGGTCACATTTGGCATGCTATCCAAAGGGAGGGCTCCGAGCTCAGGAGAGAGCCCGAACCCCGAGAACTCCCCCTATCCCTAAAAAATGGTATGATAAATAGAATAGAGTGAGGAGTTTGGGTGGAGGAGGGATGCTGAAAAACTGTCGTGGGACAGAATTAAGTTGGCTGTATATATATATATATATATATATATATATACGTATTGTGCTAGTTAAGGTGATTAACTAACGAGCTCCACCTGTGCCGAATTGATTGATTATCTGATCGTGCTCCTCCCGAA